ATGGCATTTTTTCAAAAGAGTCTTTGATATGCTTAATTCCCTAATGTTTGCACTTGTTCTACGATATCATCCTGGCCGAGGGCGAACAGTCCTCACTAGATTCCCAAAAAACTCTATGCAAACATTCATTGACGTTTTACTGACAAAATGTCGTTCACGTTTTTATTAAAGAAAACGAGCTTAAAAACAGAACAATATTAACGCGTGGCAATGGGAACTTCCTTTGCTAAGAAAAACACTAATGGTAACCTGTGCTCCAGCCTCCATTTCCAGAAAAAGAAATCTGTGAGAGAGCTTTCTCTCCCACTTTTCTTTCGGCGGGGGCGTCTTTAATAAAGGCTAAACAATGATCTTTTGAGATGATTTGGGTGTACTTGATCAAAAATGGAAAATAAGCTCTCGACATAATTTTTCGTTTCATTGCGCACCCTAAAGCTTAAAAGTACATCAAGTCTTAATTAAAATAGGAACAAAGGACTCATTTCCTTAATCACACAAATGGACGTCATCTGGCGCTTGATATAGACAGGTCTGAAGACATGATCCAAAGCGCTTATTTTACCATCTGAATACTTTTTTGCACACGCCCGTTATGTAACACATGAAATTTTAATGAAAGCACTTATTAGAACATGTTCATGTCATATTCTAGAGACGTTTTTTATAGAAAAGACAAATAGCACATCCATCAATGATGGCAAAAGTAAACAATTGTTCTTTTTAAGAAAGAGGATCGTATATCCTTCCGTGCTTTGTTCATTTTAACAGCTGCACAAAGTCAATTCTGATAGCCAATGGCAACATTTAATGTGCCAGCTATATGTTTAAAGAGTTTTGATCACGTTTGGGAAAGACACACTCGAAGACAAACAATTTCCTTTTAAGAAAAAAGTCTCACTTCGTTTTCGCTTTGTTTAGTTTGAGGTTAAGTTTGACATCATAGCAGTGTAGAACTTTACTTTAGTCTTTTCGATAGCCTATAGACAGTTCTATTTACATAGGGCTCTGTGCACCTTTATAAGAAATAGCGCCAAAGGTTGATCACGTCGTTAATCTTATACTTTTTTTCTGATTCCTAATTTGCATATTTTGGGGAAATATATAGGTGACCGGAGAAAGTTATAAGCCAGGTGTTCATCAATAATATCACAGTCACGCGCAAGAAAGAGAGATCTCTCTGAGGAACAATTGAGGATATTCAACTGCTAGAAAATGTCGATAACAAATCATACTGAAGGCGAAAGCCAAAAAGTATTTGAAGTGCTTTGTTCAACTGGCTTGACTACAGAAATAAGTTATCAGTTAACAGGTCTTGTTGTCTTCAACGTATTTATTGCTCTCACCACAACTGTAGGAAACGCTCTGATCCTCGTGGCCCTTAACAAGGTTTCTTCTCTTCATCCATCATCCAAACTGTTGTTTCGGAATTTGGCAGCAACTGATCTCTGTGTTGGTGTTATTGCACAACCTCTTTACATTGGCTATGTGGCACTTCTACTTACGGAAAACTGGAAGATTTGCCGCCATGCATTAGTCGCAAGTTTTGCTGTGGGTTCGATATTAGGCGCGGTGTCTCTACCCACCTTGACTGCAATAAGCGTGGACAGACTTCTGGCCCTGCTGTTGAGACAGAGATACAGGCAAGTTATAACTTTGAGGCGAACAAAAGTGCTTGTATGCAACCTTTGGGTTTTAGCTGCTGTTGCTACAGCAATGTACTTTTTAAATTACGATATAGCCCTACAAGGCACCATCATAGTCGTATCGTTGTATTTAGCAACTTCAATATTTTCTTACATGTGGATTTTCTTCGCTCTACGTCATCACCAAAGCCAAGTACAAAACGTTTTTCAAAGACAATCGAGCCAAACAACTCCACTGAACATAGCGCGATACAGAAAGGCAGTGTCCAGTTCACTGTGGGTGCAGTTGGTGTTAGTCGCTTGTTATCTCCCCTATGGAATAGTAGTGGCTTTGTGGGCTTACACTGGACTTCCGTCAGTCGTTTTTCTAGTGGCTCAATGCACAATCACATTGGTGTATTTGAATTCTTCCTTAAACCCATTCATTTACTGTTGGAAGATTAAAGAACTGAGACAAGTTGTGAAACAGACAATTAGGGAATTTTTCTCTTCATCGAGTTAGTTTTTGTGGAACTTATTAAAATGGTTTAGATGGAATCTCATATATAGCAAAAAAAATCATTTTGCGCAAGCCAATATATATAGACTACTGCTGATGAAGTCCTCTTGCAAACGCGTTGCCTCAAAAAAAAAAATAAGCACGTTTTTTTTTATTCTTCACATCACTTACATCAGAGAGAGAAATAACAACTGAAAAAAGAAATCGATTTATGTCGATGGCCATTTTTCAAACTGATAAACCGAGCTTTAAATTTATCTTCGACATTAAACCGACGGTAATGAAAGAAATAATTTACTGGCGTTGAAATGGCTCGAGTTCCGTGCAAAAGCCGGTTCCGGTCAGGCTTTTAACTGCTGTTTCAGATATCATGTTTTAACTGACGAAAACCGCTATCATTAACGGCTTCATCACCAAACACCGCTTGAATTGCCAAGCCATGCCCTTTTACTGGTTGTAAAAACTGAGGTTTCTTCAGATAGGAACGTGATTATGTTACTACTTTCACATTCTCGCCATTTATGTTAAAAAAAATAATAAATAAGTAAATAAACTTGGTTGAAAATACTGAAAAGACCAGCCAATATAATCTTTTTCAACTAAATTGACAGTGAAAGGGTTGTTGGTAATGAAAGGAGACTAAAATAAAACAAAATTATTCATTTTAAAGATGAAAATCGCGTTTTTACGTTGTTATGTAATAGTGCAGCTTTGTACGTGTGTGACCAATTTCTTCAGGTAATGACACCATCATACTCTGACAGTCTGGAACAACACTTTAATAAAACTAATATCGGCTCCACTACTTAATTATCCCACAAAATACAGGTCTGTATTCTGCAGTTTGAGATCGCATCTAAATGATTTGTAAAAGGAAATAAAATGTGCTATCGGGAGATCTAAAATAGTTTTTCTCATTATTCTTCTAAACTCGGCTCATGAAGAAATACATTGTTTAGGGACATTTATTATTACATTTGAAAAGGTAATCAAGTGATTTTGAGTGTTATTATGTGGCTAAGAAAAGTACTTCGTTGTGACTGGCTGAGAGCAGGCCAACTGATCGTTAACTTTTACTTTGCACCGCAATGCAAATTAACGCGCGCGTTTGCAATTTTCTCAGTCATATAATAAATGAGCAATTGTATGAAAGTTCGATCAATTAAGGATTTACACTACTAGTTATATTTCCTACCAGAATATTTTGAAATTAATCATATAATTTCTGCCTTTCACCGATAACCTATTCTTTTCCTTTCTTGAAACTTTCTTAGCGCGAAATGTTTTCGTCCCTTTGCTCTGAGGATTTTGTGTGCGGTGCTAAGCCTGTGCTTTAATATTTTTAGTCGCTGTCATTGGCTTGTCGCGTCATCTCATGGCTTCTATGAGAATCAGCAGCTTGATCACGAAGTAAAATAAAGTTTCCTCTCATTGATAGACTATTTCCATAGTTGTTTCACTGAAAAGCAATATGTGTGGTTACGTGGGGTACTTTTATCGTGATAAATGACCGTTTTGCCACGGGAAATTGCACTTAATGTGCGTGACCGACATTTTCCGAGATAAATTTCCCTCGTAAATAGCCATGGATAAGTCAAAAACACCAAATGAAGCGCCCATGCATTTGACGTGGTAAGTCGCGATGTTATTTCGATACCAAAGGTACAAGGGCCAATCAAGACGCTCCGTCTGACATCAACACGTAACCCAAAAGTAAAAGTGGTTGCTTCGATGGTTTCACACGCGCCGTTGCCAGATTCATTAACTTTGACACCGCTTGGTAAGCAGAAAAGAGTTTGAAGGCTTTGTTGGGGAGGGGGGGGCGGGGGGGCAATACAGCTAGAAAGTTAAGGTAATAAAATATGCGCTCATTTTTCTCCCCGATGCATGGTTTTATCTCGATCAACATCAGTTCTCGATTTTAATTGAAAAACATATATTTTACTGTCCAATCAGTGGGAAACGATGAGAAAAGTCTGAACTACTGTCCAATCAGTATGGGTATAGATGAGCTAAGTCTGGGCAAAGCTGTTTTGCCATACTGTGGAAGAGGGATGCAGAAGACAACTTTTAGCAAGCACCAGGAATTTGTTTATAAGAACGGATAATCCCCTTATTAGCATTTAGGCCATCAATAAACAAGACGGAGGACTTCTCTGAAAGCTTAAATAACTTCTTACAGACGCCCGTTATGTGATTTATTACATTTGAATGAAAGCATTTTAGTGAAACATGTTTACCTAAAAAAGGCGTGGAAGAGTGTTTCCTCCTATTCTTGAGAAGTTCATTAGACAAAAGATAAATATCACATCCTTCAATAATGGCAAGAGGAAGCAATTGTTCTTTTGTAGGAATGAGCATCTCATATCCTTCCGCCCATTTTTCATTTCTAATCACGTTTGACAAGACACACTTGACGAAAAAGAATTTGCCTTCAAAGAAAAAAAAAAATCTCACTTCGTTTTAGCTTTGTTTCGTTTAAAGTTTTGACAGTGCGTGTACTTTAATTGCTTTACTCTAGTCATTTCGTTAGTTAATAGACAGCTCTATTTCCGTGCAGTTCTGAACACCTTCATAAGAAACACGAAAGAAAGAGAAACCTCAGTCTTTGAGAAAAAACCTAGGATATGACACTGCTCGAAAATGCCGATGTCAAATCATACTGAAGGCGAAAGCCAGAGTGTATTTGATGTTCTATGTTCGATTGGCTCGACTGCAGAAATAACCTACCAGTTAACAGGTCTTCTGGTCTTCAACGTATTTTTGGCTTTTATCGCAACTGCAGGCAACACTCTAATCCTAGTCGCCCTTAACAAGGTTTCTTCTCTTCATCCGCAGTCCAAACTGTTGTTTCGGAATCTGGCAGTCACTGATCTCTGTGTTGGTGTTATTGCACAACCTCTCTACATTGTCTATGTGATACTCTTACTTACGGAAAACTGGAAGATTTTGCCGCTATGCAGTGGTCTCAAGTTTCGCAGTGGGCTCGATATTAGGCGCGGTGTCTCTACCCACCTTGACTGTAATAAGCGTGGACAGACTGCTCGCCCTGCTACTGAGATTAAAGTACAAACAAGTTGTAACTCTGAGGCGAACAAAAGTGCTTGTATGCAGCATCTGGGTTTCAGCTCCTGTTTTTGGAGCAATGTACTTTTTGAGTTACAATATTACCATACGGGCTGCCATCATATTCATATCGTTGCTTTTAACAATGTCGATAGTTTCTTACACGTGGATTTTCTTCGCTCTGCGTCATCACCAAAGCCAAGTACAAAACGCCTTTCAACAAGGACAACCGAGCCGAACACTTCCACTGAACATAGCGCGATACAGAAAGGCAGTGTCCAGTGCTCTGTGCGTGCAGTTGGTGTTAGTCGCTTGCTATCTCCCTTATGGAATAGTAGTGGCGTTGTGGGCTTACTCTGGACTTCTGTCAGTGATTTTTCTTGTGGTCCATTGCTCAATCACATTGGTATATTTAAATTCTTCCTTAAATCCGGTTATTTACTGTTGGAAGATTAAAGAACTGAGACAAGTTGTGAAACAGACAATTAAGGGATTTTTGTCATCATAGAGTTAGTTTTTATCGATCGTACTTTTCAAAGCATTTCAGGGAACGTTTTAAATTGGTTTATAAAGGATTTCTATATATTATTTTTACAAAAGGCAGTATACAGACTTCAACTAATGATGTCAGTATTCTGTTCTATTTCCTATCTATCGAACGCACCTTTCAAAAATTTTCAGGGAACCTTTAAACTAATAAAATTCTAGAATATGGTAAGGTGGACAAGGTGAGACTTCAAAGGAAAAGCTCAGGACTCTATTTAAAAGATTTTTTTAGTAGTTTCCAGTTTGGAAATATTGGAAAAATCATGTAAACAAGACAAAAATAATCAGTGTTATTTCATTCTTCACGTTACTTACATTAGGGAATAAACGACTGAAAAGACAAAAAAAAGATTTAAATGTCAATGGCCCATTTCTCACTAATGAGGCAAACCTGCAACAGTGATTAAAGAAATAATTGTCTGGCTTTGAAATAGGTTCAAGTTCTGTGCAAAAGCAGATACCGATCAGGTTTTAAACTGCTGTTTTAGATGTCACGTTCTCACTGACATTAATACTATTATCAACAGCCTCATTAAAAGTCTCATCAACAGCTTCACTAACACCCTTATTAACAGCCTCATTAACAGCCTCATTACCAAACACCGCTGGAATAGCCAAACCACGACCCGTAGCTTTAAATGGCGATATAAAGTGAGATTTTGAGGCCTTGAATATGACTATTCTTCATAAATCAAAATTTTCATAATTCGAAAACCATTCATTGGACAAAGTCCAGAAATTTTTATGTTATAGGTTAAGTTTTAGGTCTGTTTGTTTTCCCAAACTTCAAATATTCGTCCAAATATTTTGCACAAATTTACGGAGCCTAGTATGGAACCGCCATGTTTGTGTACCTCCGTTGTACACAAACATGGCGGCCGCAAAATAGTGTAAACACCTGGAACTTACTTTGGATATCTGGACGACTGATTATCTGAACTGAACAAGCAAACAATTAAATAAGCATTTTTCCTAATGCTAATTAACCTCTGAGAAGGCTTAAAATCCCGAGATAAGTATATACATTTCAACAAACGCGATCGTAGCTTTAGTCACGCACCGTCATAACTCTGAAATTCAAATTGCGCTGGTTTCCAGACGAAACAAGCTATTAGCTGAAACGTTGTACACAGATAAGGTTAAAAGTTTTAAAAACATGATGACGTCACGTGTAAACGAATTTCCAAATTATTAAAAGACGCTTGGACGAAGGTACTGAGAGAGACCAGGTGATATAAACTGCATTAATTATCACAAAATTGATTGTCAAACGCAAGCGGAAGTGATATCATTAATTAGAGAACACTAAAATAAAACGAAATGAATTATTTTGCAGATGAACATTGCGTTGCAGCTTTGTGTGCGACCAAGTTTTTCGAGTAATGAGTTAT